GGCCCGCCGCCAGCGCGGCCTCCCGGGTTCGCTGACCCGTCCCGCCCCGCAGAGCCTCCGCCATGGAAGAGGAAATCGCCGCCCTCGTCATCGATAACGGCTCCGGGATGTGTAAGGCCGGTTTCGCCGGGGACGACGCCCCCCGCGCCGTTTTTCCCTCCATCGTCGGGCGCCCCCGGCACCAGGTAGGCGGGAGGAGGAGGAGGAGGGAGGGGAGAGCAGGGCGGACCGGGGCGGTGCTGCCGGCGGGCGGGCGCTGACTCAGCTTTGGCTTCGCAGGGTGTGATGGTGGGCATGGGGCAGAAGGACAGTTACGTGGGGGATGAGGCCCAGAGCAAGAGAGGGATCCTCACCCTGAAGTACCCCATCGAGCACGGTATCGTCACCAACTGGGATGACATGGAGAAAATCTGGCACCACACCTTCTACAACGAGCTGCGCGTGGCTCCCGAGGAGCACCCTGTGCTGCTCACAGAGGCTCCCCTGAACCCCAAGGCCAACAGAGAGAAGATGACGCAGGTACTGTCGCTTGCCCGGTGGCCACTCGTCACTCTCATCTTGCTCACAAACCTTCTTTTGTTATGGCATCTTAAACCTGAGTTTGGTTTTTTTTTCTCTCTCCCGACATTTTCAGGATTCTGTACTCCTGGCATTTCTTCCTTGACGCCTCAGGTTTCTTTTGTTTGTGTTTTCTGCCTGCACTCTTTGCTTTTTCTTTCACACACCGTTTTGGTTTTTGTTATTTTTTGTTTTGTTTTTTTTTGCATGTCAGCATGTGTGTTCTAATGTGGGTGCAAGTGACCCAGCTCATGACTTGATGCTAATTGATCTATTTTTTTCTTCCCCCCCCCCCCCCCTTCCTTCCAGATCATGTTTGAGACCTTCAACACTCCAGCCATGTACGTGGCTATCCAGGCTGTGCTGTCTCTGTATGCCTCTGGTCGTACCACTGGTATTGTTATGGACTCTGGGGATGGTGTCACCCACACCGTGCCCATCTACGAGGGTTATGCTCTGCCCCACGCCATCCTGCGTCTGGACTTGGCTGGCCGTGACCTGACAGACTACCTCATGAAGATCCTGACAGAAAGAGGCTACAGCTTCACCACCACAGCCGAAAGGGAAATTGTCCGTGACATAAAGGAAAAGCTCTGCTACGTTGCCCTGGACTTCGAGCAGGAGATGGCCACTGCTGCCTCTTCCTCTTCCCTGGAGAAGAGCTATGAGCTGCCTGATGGCCAGGTGATCACCATCGGCAACGAGAGGTTCAGGTGTCCAGAAGCTCTCTTCCAGCCCTCCTTCCTGGGTAGGTGTGGGCCAGGGCGGTAACTGCCAGGGTTGCCTCTGCAGTGTGGGGTTGGTGTGACCCAAATGAGGTGCTGCATTGGGTACTAACGAGCCTGCAACTCTTCTCCCCAGGCATGGAGTCCTGTGGCATTCACGAGACCACTTTCAACTCCATCATGAAGTGTGATGTGGACATCAGGAAGGACCTGTATGCCAACACAGTCTTGTCCGGTGGCACCACCATGTACCCTGGCATTGCCGACAGGATGCAGAAGGAGATCACAGCCCTGGCGCCCAGCACAATGAAGATCAAGGTAAGAAACAGCAAGATGAGGCTGCAGGCCAGTGGTGGGGGGGAGAGGCGGGAGAAGGCTGGGCCGCTCTGACCACTGCTGCTCTTCTCTTTCAGATCATTGCTCCCCCTGAGCGCAAATACTCGGTCTGGATCGGTGGCTCCATCCTGGCCTCGCTATCCACCTTCCAGCAGATGTGGATCAGCAAGCAGGAGTACGATGAGTCCGGCCCATCCATCGTCCACCGTAAATGCTTCTAAATGGACTGCTGGCAGGCGCGCTGCGCCTGCTGCATGAGTTGTCTCACTAGTATATGTTTGCCCAGGCAAATTTATACACCTCATGCTAGCCTCATAAAACTGGAATAAGCCTTCTTTCAAAAGAAACTTGCCCTTGGAAAGTCTGTACCTGATGTTAGACACATGTCGGCACTGGATGGTTGAGCTGTCACTTTGATTTGACCTTGTTATTCGAGTTAACTGTTCCCTCGGTGTACACCTGAGCAAAATACCCTGTACAGATCCGCTCCCGGCCGCGGGGCTGGCCTGGCACCTCGCCGTGGAGGAGAGCCCATGCCTGACCGGGGCTCCCGCAGCTCGCTACACTGACTGACAGTGGCCTGTCTCCCCGTGCCCCGGGCCGGGACCGGTGTGTACAGGGTATTTGGAGTCAGACTTGCCGTACATCCAGTGTGGAGTATTCCAGATTTCCTGTAGAGGCTGGTAGGAGTCCATCAAGAATTCACTTCTGTCGCTGCCGTTCTAGCAAGGTTGGGAAAACATATCGCATCCGAGCCTTATGAACCAGTTCTTCATTCTCCTCCCCACCTGTATCCCAGTTGACATCACGGGGCTGAAGTTACTCAACTTGAGTTGCTGAAACTTTGCATTGACACCTGTAAATTTACGCATCGTTTAATTTATGTAAGATTTTTGTACGTTGCCTTAATGTTCTCACATGACGGTAGGAAACCAAAATTTGTAAGTCATCCTAAAGTTGAGAAATTGTAATGCCCAACAACACATCATTGTGTAAGGAAAATAAAAAAAACCATACAAAAAGCGCTGCAGTAAAACCCACCTGGGGGCTGTGTGTGCTGTGGGGGAGGGGGGGTGGCAAGGGGGACCTGAGCTGGAGCTCCTGCCTCCTCTTCCCAAGGAAGCCGTGATGGTACTTTGGGGTTAAAAATGGGTGTTTAGGTGCCAAGCAAGGATGGAGGGGGGTGGTGATGGGTGCTGCCTTCCTGGCCTTAGTCCTGGGTGTGCAGCACCCAGGTGGAACGTGGGGTGTTGTGCCTACCCGGTGTGGAGGGTGGGGGCGTGAGGGGTTGTTTTGGCTGCTGCTGGGCCCTGTGGCACTGCCAAGTGCTGCCCTCGTTTCTGCAGGGAGAAAGAAACCTGCTAATTAATGAAAGTGCCAAGGTCAGGCAGTGTAGTCGCTGCCATTAGGACTGTCTGTGGCAAATGTGGCTCTGCTGGTCCTGGCCCTCACTGCCGTCCTATGCTGGGGTGGCATGGGGGGCACTGGCAAAATGCGCTGGAGCCCCTCTGTCAGCTGGCACAGCTGGGCACGGGCTCCCAGGTTGCCACGTCTTCCCGGTGCCGGGCCGGTTCTCTGCCAAAGGCCGGGCTCCTCTTGACCCCTTTGCCAGCGCTCTTCCTCCTCTTCACTGGTTTTGCGTGAACCAAAGGCATCCGTCGTGGCCGAGGTGGGTGTCACTGTGCCGCAAGGACACCGGCTGCAGCAGGGGAGGACGAGTTGCGGCTGGGGGTGCTGGGGCAGCCCAAAGCGGTGCCAGCGCCGGACCGAGGCCCCTTTGCTTGCTGGCACTGTGGTGCGGTGAGCCGCGGGGTGCCGTGCCAGGTTCACCGTACCACGTCGTGTTATGTTGCGCCGTGCCACGTTGCTCCGTGCCGCATTTGCCCCAGGTGGCCTTACCGGCGTGTCCCACAGTAACACCACTGCCCGGCCGTCCCCAAAGCGTCCCCGTTCCCCCCATTTTGTCCTTGCCCGCACCCAGGCCCATCTGAGCCACTTTTGGCACCGTGGGGCCCGGCTGAGCCCCTGGGGTGACACCGCGGCTGCCTCGGCGCAGCCTGGGGGTGTGTGTGTGGGGGTCACCATCACTGCTGTGCCAGGGACACCGCGTGGCCCGAGCTGTTGATTTGGGGGTGGGTGCGCACCCCTCCTTGGGGGGGGGGGGCACACACAGAGGGGATGGGGCCGTGGCCGGGCGCAACTGTGTGTGCGAGCGAGTGCTCAGTGCTGGGACGGGGGGTCAGGCCCAGCGTGGGGAGGGGGGATTGGGGGGGGCCCCCCCCCCCAGCCCCATCCCCAGCACCCTCTGCCCCTCTGGCCCAGCCAAGCCGTGGTGTGGCCCCAGGGGTCCCTCCCGGTGGCC